TTCTCTCTGTTGGAGAGAAAAATGTATTTATATACATAAATCTTTTACCTTCACTTCGGTTATTCTAAATTGCATCTGCTTTACGTCGATAGATGAGCGTGTTTCAGCTCTCGTTCGTAAAGCTCCGGATTTCTAGCGCGTTACACATATTAACTTTGTGTCGATGCATGCATCCTCTAATGCATTTCTCGACTGTAATCGCTCATGCGTTGTGCGACACGATAGAGTGTCATATTTTCATTTATTACTTGTTTATTCGCTATTTTTTTTCTCTGTTCGGTCCGGTTCAGATTTAGTGTCGTTTACAGTGCGCGAGGGGATTTTTCAAAACGAGGCCTCGACGAGGTAAGTGCCATCCATGGCGACCCCCGTCTGCCCACCCTGGGCCCCGGATACTTGGGCTCTTGTAGCCGGGATGTACTGACTGTACGCCTGCTGAAATCCACAACCACAAGCACACACTACATTGTTGCACGCTAGGTACGCCTACGCTAATGCTTTCTACGGACTTCTCCCCTAAACCTCCATCTACTCTCACGATCGATGTATATGTGTGTGTGTGGATGGATGTGATAATGAAGCTTTAATAATAAAAATCTACTGCGCCATGTTTTTTCCCACAATACTATATATTTCTTAAATTTTATTCGCACCGTGAATCTTTCGTATAAATAACTTTTGTTTAGATAAAAAGCAATTAGAGACTTTTTAATACGTTGAGCTAATATAAGTTATCGGTATCACACATAAGTCTCCGAACTGTTCATTTTAATTGTTACTTTCTGGTAAAATACAAGTATAAATATGAAAAAAATAACACAAAAAGTATGACAGTGACATAATTTGGAAACAAATTGTGGAAACATATTTCTTCAATAAAATAAATGTTTATAATATGTTAAATCAGCACGTACATCTTATTCATTTATCCCAGAATTTACATTTTAAAATGCATTATTTTTATATTGTTTGTTTACTTACTCATTATATTATTTTAACAATAAAAAATGTTAAATAACAATTTAACATATTCAAATAATATAATCACATTATGTTAAATTAACAATCGGCTATGTTAAGAACTATGTACAAAAATTTTAACAAGACACGATTTAATTCAAACAGTTTTCCACTATGTAGTAGCAAACAATTGTAAGTATATCATTGAAAATTTACTTTTACTTGAGAGGGAAAACTCTTGCTCATAAAGCATTGTTACATTTAAATAAGAATGGAGAATATTATTAGAAGCTACATCTTCTTCCATACTTATTGCAATTTCTGTTTTCTAAAAATTTCCATTATTACCAATCCCAAAAATATATAAGTTTTACTATATTATATTAATAACAATAAATCACAATGAATACATTATAAACTCATCTATATGTAGCGCGCAAGCAGTAATATTTTAATATTTCACGATTCTTTCATTTTCCTTACTTAACCTTTCGACGCGCGTAATAAAATCTGATTTAAACCATTTTCGAAGGAACATATACCGTACTACCGACCGTAAAAACCGATGGGCTTCATAGCGTTTCGACTGATCCAATAACGTCGGGAAAGCCTGCAAATTGACGAAGTGACGCGCACACCGCGCGCATCACCGACAAAAACGAATTAACTCACAAACGTCGATGCGGTACATCCCCTCAAACAGGTCAAATAATTCGAATTCGAGCCCAAATGCATGTGCACGAGCGACGATTTCGTATTCAAGCGAATCGCACGTTTTCCGCGTGAAATCAGCAAAGCGGAAAACTAATGAACCTCTGCAGACAATGTGATTTTCGGCGCAATTATTTCCTGTCAAATTGCTATCGCGATAATCGGGTATTCCAGCACGAAAGAATAAAACCACGCACGTTCACATATTTTCTTGAATTCAAGCAACTAGGTTTCATTACGAAATTCAAGATTACCTACGAAAAACAGTAAGATAGAGATTAATTAATTAATAATTATGCACATATAAATATTAATACATACATTTATACAAAATGCTCTGGAAATAAGAAAGATGCACATTTTTTGAATATATCTTGTGCTACCAACAAAACGATCAATGATAGACAAAAGACGAAGTCGAGAAATAAAGAGAGACGATCTGTACATTAATTCTTACCTTACAATAAGAAGAAATATTTTCTACAAAATATTTCACAAATATTTATGATACAAAATACACAAACAATCATTAGATGTATATACAATATACAATTGCCGTTTGCTGTATCCAAACACGATTTGAGTTAGCTCCAATCAAATAACCACGTTTGGAAAAAGCAACTACAATGCACGTTGACAATTATTTTCGAAATGCATTACATTTTGAAAATAGTTTTCAATTATGAAGTTATATGCTTCCAATAAAAAGTAACAGTAATAACTGGAAACGTGTTACAAATACAAAGAGACATTGGAAAACGTGATATTAGAAAACCGTCGCGTTAATAAAAGTCGAAGATACAATTTCGTTCGTGTTTCCAATCGTCATAGTATCAAACATAAAAAAAAAAATTTTTACGTTTTTGAAAATTTTGACGCTGCTAGTTTCGCGTCGCCTTGTTCAGATCTAACAATCGTGTGAATTTTTTATAATGATCGATTGAACGCGATACTGTCATAGTGTTTATAGCCGATCATCGTACCTGTTGGGCGCCAATTAATCAATCAATGCGAATTAACGGCAAAATCATAACTTGAATAGACGCGACGGAAAATCTTTGCAAGTTATTAACGAAGAGGAAAGCGCTCGATTTCCACATCGATTAATCATCCGGCCAACTGTAATCGACACGGCTTGACAGGATAACGAATAATACCTAATTAATCTTGCTCACTGTGACGGGATAAGATTTCAAACCGAAAAGAAGCGGTTGATATAGAGTATATACATATACACAGGTATAGTTATACATATACATAAGGCGATTATACAGAATGTCGCAAAATCTGTGTTAACTGAGCGAGAAAGTGTTGATTGGAAAGAAATAACTCGAGGCTATGTTGTAAAGTAATCATCTAAAGTCTAGCTAATATACTGCAGTGTATAGTGCGCATCGTGGAAAGAAATCTAAATTTCTAAAATTAATACGCGACAGCAAATCCGAAATATGTTTAACTAGGGAATGGAAGTAACTCGTTACTTGTACGAAATTACAGTTATAAGTTATTTTTTTGGTAACTTCACTGCGTTTTGATAACTGCGTTACTTTTTTTTTTAATAACTATAACAGTAATGTAGTTACATTTTTTTGGTAATGAATTTTACAGTTACTTTTGTCATTATTTTGCACATAATTGGACACTAGCTATTCATAGCGCTTGAAATTAAAAAGCCCTTAGACACCCGTCCGCTGTGATTGGTGATCGTCGATTTTAAAAAAGTTACAGTTTCTCAAATAACGGTAACTATAACGAGTTACTTTAAAAAAAAACAGTAATAATGATAACTTGTTACTTTTTCTGCTCAGTAATGAATAACTGTAACTTATTACTTTTAAAAAGTAACCTTCCATTCCCTGCGTTTAATCTATAGAAAATAATCGTAAAAGCGCAAAATAAAAAGAAAATTATAAAAAAAAAGTCTCCCAAAAATATTTACAATTTTGCAATACTATGCGACGATCTATATAACCATGTTATATCTGATGCGTTTAATATAATTGTAGCTAGAAATACTAGAGATAGAAATGAGCGAAACGTAACGCGCACATAAATACTATCTTTGACGTTTATGTGAAGTAATAACAATTCTGCGATTGAACATGCAATTACAGGGCCAGAAATATTTGGTACGATATATATGTACAGACTGGCGATTGTTCGCACAACAACGTAAATTCAGGGTCATAATCATACATTACGCGTTTACATGTGTTGCATATAAATTAAATGATATGTAATTAATATATTGAGGAAGAAATTCGACACGCTCGAGCGAGTATTTTTAACCGAACATATTTAACAACGCTCGATGATAATCTCCATACAGCTCCAAATAATAGGATAGATCTTAAATTAATTAATCTCGTGACAGATGTCAATCAAGGCAAAAATATCCATCAGATTTAATTATACCTCAAATTTATTATATCACATTGTACACATTATTAAAAACAATTTATATATATA